ATGAACTGTAGTGATGAACTGCAGGCGATGACCTTTAATATCAAACTCCATAGGTGGGTAGATAGAAAAGAGAGCAATCTTTTTCATCTCTAAAGTCACACCTAGAGACATTTGTCTAAGACGGGTGTTCAAGACAGTAGAATAGTTTATGCAATACAATGTATTATACATTATTTGTTTTCTGAAAAGATTTAAAAACAATACGCACTTGTTTGACTACGGAAAAAAAAAAAAAAAAAACAATACTATTATAATAATTACTATAATTACAATAATTGTAATAAATCTATAGACGTCTAACTGAAACACTGATTTTCTTCTCAAAGTCAGGTGACAACCTCTCAAATACTCTTAAGAGACTATGAATATTTTGATGAGAGGAATATCTTTTATTATTAGCCGGAAAGACATTATCAATATCGATTTCTCAATAATCAAGGATTTTGACCTCTGGCCAAATAACACTAATAATTAAAGGAAATTCTTTTTTCTTCTCTTTTCTTGGGCAATTTTCTTTTCTTTCTTTGCCTATCTCTCTTCTCATGTCACACAAAGGTTCACCCAAGGTTATACAAAACTGTCGAAGGTTATACGAAACAAACTTGAAGCCAAATTGTAAAAAAAACACAATCGCATCACAAAGGTTATACTACAGAAAGGCCACACCCAAAGGATCTGCAAAGGTTCCACAAAATCCTGATAAAGGATACATACAGAATCTATAAACAGATTGCTAATCACAAGGATAAAATATTATTATTTGCTTGAATAATTTTATAAAGTCATTATATAGTTATAAACAATCTTAATTCTTCTGAATCCATAATATATACTGATTAAAGGCTAGTCAGTCATGAAGCATAAATCTATAGCAGAATGATGTTTGAGGTTATAGTATTTTATGAAATTACAAAAATAATTAATATTATTTTATGTTGTTGTTTGAATTATACTTTTGATATTATATTTATCTTTTTGTATAAGCATATTTAACTATATAAAGAATTTTGAAGGTACCCTTTTACTACTGTAAGAAATACAGTACCCAGACTATACAACCTGAATATAGATACCATGATAGTCCAGTTCTCAACTTGCCTAAATACAAGTATCATTGAATCCTTAAATAGAAGAAGGAATCTGAAAACTAAGATACAAGCAAGAAATATAATATAATAAAGAAGGCCTATTAAGCTCTCCTCTTTTATTACAGCCAGCCCACAAAGCATATTTAGCGATTACTGTATTTCTTGTAATAAATTCATGAAGCTGAGATTAAACAGAACAAAACACCAAGATTAAAAGACAAATCTCTAGCTAAATTCAAAGGTGAAAAAGAACCGGTCGAAAGAAGCAGAGGCAGGAGTTCCTAAAAGTTGAAGAAGTTCTTCCAATTAAGCCACTCTGTTTTTCAAATTGAAGTTTTTCAACTCCAATTCTCTATTGTAACAATAAAGGGCTCGAGTGTCTGAAAGTTTTTCCAAGTCTGTCTGTAACTTGGAAATCTCTTCTTTCAACTTGATGATCTTTTCTTGCAAGGTCTTGATCTTCTCTCCATAACATGCTAAGCATTCCATAATTTTAACTCTTTCTTGAAGCACCACTATGGTTTCCCAGGCAGGATTTTTCTGACCAGAGCAAGTAAGACAAATAATTTTGGACATATGGTTTTCTCTGGGCATAATGTTTTCTTTTAATAATAATTTGAAGATTTGTTGAAAAAATTTTTCTTCAGAATACTATGTAATTAAATACAAACATGCTGGGAATTTTCTTATCACAACTGAAAATTTTAAGGCAACAAAAAAGAATACAATATATGACAACATATAAACAACAATAATAATAATATGAGACAATAACAATTGGAACATAAATAATATATGGCAACAATAAAGGCTGATATATAATACTTATACAAGTATACTAAATTAGAAACAACCATGGTTTAAGGAAATGACAATCAGGATTAATTTGATAAAGGAAATTGAAGGATGCATTTGGAGCCAATCAAAGGACACTTTCACTAATGACTAATGACTGGATTTGGATTAAGATTGGAAAATTCTAAAAATAGTATAGTATTTACAAGGAAAATATAATATAACAAATGACAACAAATTTAGAATTTGAAAATTGGAAATTGGAAATTAGAATTCTAAAAGGGATATCCATGCCAAACAAGTCTACTCAGGAGTCTGTTATAGATATCTTAACTGGTCGCTCAAAGTTGGATATTGTATAACAAACTTGAGGAACTCAAGACAATAATTGACTACTGTAAGGATCAGTTAATCTTAGATTATGTAGGTTGGAAAAGAATACTCAGTAGGTTATTATTTGAGGATATAAATCCTGAATTATTTATGTGTTGGATACGAAAATACTTTTCTATTGTTTGGAATAGTAGAAGAAAGGTTCTTCTATATATACACATACTTATATATGCATTTTATACACACAACATATTGGAATTGCAATTGAGACAACAGATTTAATCAAGAAATGATGAAAGACAAACTAATAAATGGCAAAATTGCAATGTGACAATTATTATAACACAGTATATATATACAGTATATATATACAGTATATATATACAGTACTAGAATTTCACCTTAAAGTAACAAATGATATATTTATACCTTATGAGTTTATCCAGTCAGTTGAGTTTGCGCAGATAACTAGCATGTATATTGGAGTTTAATTATCTAGCACATATATATAAAACACTAAATTATACTTTAAAAATATATGCTAAACCATCAGAGAAGACCACAAAATTGACAATCTAAAAAAAGAATGGCATTTAATTAACACCACTGTTCCCTTAAGACAAAAAGTTAAAGAGATGCCATAGATTTCACCAATAAGACATCAAGAGAAACCACCCAAGCTGCAAGACTAACAAAACAAGATACCACACGAAATCTGAACATTGCGGCAATAGAAGAGACAGATGATGAATCTGTGGGGAAAAGGCAAAAAAGAAATCAACAGGAAACAAAAGAGAATAGAAAGAAAGAGAATAAAGACAATCACAAGCAACATATCCATCTAAAAGTCACTGGACCAACAAGTTGTGCTAAAATTCCACACCACAATGATGAAATTCGATGCTATGATGAAGACAGAATGGATGGTAAAGCTAGGGAAAAGCAAGAGCAAAGAATAAACAAATTAACAAGAGTGGCAACAAGAAAGACAAAGACTATGAACCAGGAAAGAGTTGTAAATCCAAAAGAGTACCGGAATGTGCAACCGCAATAACAAAGAATCAAAATTCATAACCCTGCAAATATCACAATACCAAAAAGATCTGTGGAAAAAGAAGAAACAGAAGTATAGGAAGCAACACCAATCCAAGAAGCAAAACCATATCTACCAGGATACCTATCACCAACAACACCAATGGTAGAGATGATAATACCAGAACCATAAAGAAGAACTGTCATGATGAAAGATCAAAATTACAAGAAACCACAATATCACGAACACTGCAACGACAAGGAAGATCTAAGCAAAAAAAAATCAACAAAAGTATCAGAGATAATGTTAGCAACTATACAAGACTATATTTACCACTACACCCAATGACACCGGCAACAAAAATGACGAATGCCATGATCACAATGGAAAACCATCAGAAGGAATGCCAAATTCAATAATTCCCAGAGCTAAAAAGGACAAGACCTATAAAGACAAAGACAAGGTAATGAAGGGTAAGTATGGAAGAGAGGGATTGAATCAACCAAGACCAATGACAACATATTTCCATGATCATGACTATACATGTGGTGTAAATTATTTTGCTGTTGACTCAATTGTCAAAATCCTCAAAAATAATTGCGTCTGACTCAA